CTCTATTCTCATTTCCTCAATGGCAAAATGCATTTTTTTCTGATTTGGTTGGCAAGAGGTTTTATTCCCAGGTACTTTTCCCTTCCTTCTCATTGGCAAAATATTTTCTGCATTTTTTTCTGGTTTGGCTGGCAAGAGGTTTTATTCCCAGGTACCTTTCCCTTCTATTCTCATTTTCTCAATGGCAAAATAAGCCATTCCCAGGAGGTTGGGCCTGTGGCAGGGAACAGACTCCAGGTGCACTCTGCTCTTACTCCCCCTGTTATCTCCTGGTTCCTCAGGATCAGGAATAGCTCCAGGAGTGCTTGGCAACACCCTGCTCCCAGCCAGCTCCCTGTGAAAGGCTGGGAACGTTGGAGTGCCAGGGTACAACCCAGAGCACGTAGGGCACAGCTCTCCACTCTCTCCCTGTGGGAATGGGGTGGCCCAGCTCCAGGCCCCTCAGTCATTCCCTTCCCTCTGGCTGTGCCAGCACTTCCTGAGCTGAGCTCGGCTTTTCCAAGCACACCCTCCCAAAGCTGCTTCCTCGGGACACTTCCTCACCTCTGCTGCACCCAAACAGCCCTCTGGTTGCCCTAATATTATATTAAAATAGAAGTCAAACCCATTTAAATGCAAAGATTTGCTGCAGACAGTCCACTCGGAACCCCGGGATGGTTTGGGTTGGAAGGGACCTCAAAAGCCACGGGCAGGGACTCCTTCCAAAAAGCTGCTGGGCTTGAAAAAGCAAATGCTCCAGTAAAAAAAAAAAACCAGGAAGGGCTTTGATCACTGTTAGACCATTCATGGAGCTTATTTTGCACACCTCCTTCATTTTGTGCTTCAACTGCTAAAACCCTTTTTGTGTCTGCAAATCTCAAAACATAACTGGGGAAGCCAATGACTCCAGCTGAGTGTTACCAACAGGCACTGCTGCTCCCATTGCCCCAGGAACTTCCAGCCTCCCACTGGGCCAGATCCCAACCCTTGTCTCCTCCACACAACCACCTTTTTCCCTGTTGCCCTACACTCAGAACATCCTGCTAAGTGACTTCCCAAATCCTTCCCCACGGGTGTTTCCTTCTGCAGGGCGTTACCAATGCATTCCTTATCTAATCCCTGTCACGGATTTTGTCAATATTCCCAAATCCACAGGTGCAGATCACGTTCTTACACATTTCTCCAAGATAAATAACAGTGTCAAACCAGCCCAACATCCTTTGCCTACAACCCCCGGGCACAAGGGAGCAGAACAAATATCTCTGGCTTGTTCCCAATTATGCTTGTTTAATAAACACTATTAAAGGTTTACACTTTTTGGCAAATATAACTCTCAGTGCACCTTTCCAGCTCCTGCAGTGGTGTCCCACCAAGATTTCATGGAGGCTTGAGGGAACTTCTTTAACACAACGCAAATGGCAGCGAGGGAGTGAGATAAGGAATTCTGAGCTTATCAAATGTTATGTCATTATGGAATCAAAGTTGCTGGCCGTTGGCAGCAGCTCCCAGAATGCCAGGAGTGGATCCTCATCCCTACCTTCGTCCCCTTCCGGCGCGTAGGAAGCCGTGATGATGTCGATGTCGGCGCAGTTCATCACGATTTGGTTGGTTGCATTTTTCACCTGGAAGAGAAACTCCGTGAGCACCAGGAGGAAAAGGTCCCCGAGGCAGGCATTCCCACACTCCCACCCATGCCAGAAGCCCTCCACCAAGGGTCTGAGGTGGAATTTGGTGGTCAGGAGCCGTGAAGAAGCAGCCGGGCCGCGCGTGTTCGATCCGTGCCCGGCCCCACTTATCCCGCCGTAAATTGTTGGAGGGAATGAAGTGCCGGGTAAAGAGGGGTCTGAAAGCCTGACAATGGAGCCCTTGTGCACTCCTGGGAATCCAAGAGCAATGAAAAACGGATGGAGAGCCCATCAGCCTCCTCTGGGGATGATCTATGGGAGACCAGGGCAAAAAGTTGGGATGGGAGATGAGCAGGGACACAACCCCTGTGGGTGCTCGACCCTGGGACCACTTCCGAGGTTAAAAACATCTGCCAGGAGATTCTCCTTCCCCTTTTCCTGTGAGCTTCCCTTCTGCCAGCTCTTGGCTCCACACACTCTCTGCTTTATTTACCAAGCGCCAGCTCCCGGCGTAGGAATAAACTGTGGGGCTGTGCCAGCTCTCTGTTTGAATGCAGAGGGATTCCAATGAAATATAAATTAATTACAAAGGGGTAAAATATTTGGGAGTTAAAGAGGGAGTTATTTAGAAATTGATGGCTGAAACCACCAGAATGGTCACGCTGGATGGAGCTGGGGATCCTGCTAGTCCTGCACGCGATTTCGAGCAGGGGACAAGAGCAGTTCTTCAAATAAAGGAGTAAAAATTCCTCTAACAGCCAAGTAGATTTAACATGTGCACGAAGAAGCTGCTTCCAACCCCAGAGTGAGCTCCTCACAGCACAAGGACTTCCACCCCTTTCTTTTTCTTCACTGTTATAACCTCAAAATGCCTGTTAACACCCGGATCCCTCGTTCCAGGTATCCGTGTGTGAACAGGGCAGGAACCAACTGGAACTGCCTCCAGCTCTGGGGTCCCAGCACAGGAGGGACATGGAGCTGTTGGAGCGAATCCAGGGGAGGAAACATCCAGAGGGATGGAGCAGCTCTGCTGGGAGGAAAGACTGGGAAAATTGGGATTGTTCGGCCTGGTGAAGAGAAGCTCTGGGGTGACCTGACTGTGGCCTTCCAGGACCTGAAGGGAACTTACAGGAAAGATGGAGAGAGACTATTTAGGAGGGTCTGGAGTGAGAGGACAAGGGGGAATGGCTTCCCACTGCCAGAAGGCAGGGTTAGATGGGATATTGGGAAGAAATCCTTCCCTGGGAGGGTGGGGAGGCCCTGGCACAGGTTGCCCAGAGGAGTTGTGGCTGCCCCATCCCTGGAAAGGTCCGAGGCCAGGTTGGACAGGGCTTGGAGAACCTGATCTAATGGAGGGTGTTCCTGCATGGAACTGGATGATCCTAAATGTCCCTTCCAACCCACCCCACTCCACGATTCTCCCTGCAGTGGCAGCTGGTTCCCCTGGGCCAGGAGCTGCTCCGTGCGCCCAGCCCAGCTCGCCCCGCTGGCATCTCCATGGAAACGGGTTTATGGCATGGAAAGGCACCATAAAAAGCTCAGGTGTCCCAGCTGGAGCAGACAACTTCTCCCTCTGCCATCAGGGCCTGGGAGCTGGGCGAGGAGGAGCCGGAAGCAGATATTCCGTGCGGGGCTGCTCCAGCCGGGAATGGTCCCTCAGTCATGGGGGACATAAAAACCAGATTCCAGCCCAGCCACTGATAAGGAGGCTTAAGAAATTTCAATGTGTAACTTAACAGGTGTGTTCCCACATCCATCTGTGAGCCAAAGGGCTCCCACCAGCCCTTCCAGGGAGATCCAAAGCCCACAGAGGGTGGGGAACACACACCGACCTGACCGGGAGCTCCTTTCCAGCCTCAGACACCAACCTTGCTCCTGAAGCAAATCCCTCTGGTTTGCTCCCAACCACGGGATTGTCTGATTCCCTAAATAAAGGTTTAAAGGTGTAATTATCAGTGCATCATTCCAAGCCCTGCAGTGGTGTCACACCAAGAGGTGCAGCAGAGCCACGTCGCCTCTTTATGGAATTAAACCCGAGCCAGTTTTACCCAACAAACCCGACCTGGTTGTGAAAACAAAGCACAAAATGAGCAACTGCAACAGCTGAGGTGAGAGAGAGTAGATTTGATGCTTCTTGCAAAGATTTATAGCCTGAAATCTTATTTTTTTCTCTCCCCAGTTCTGTGCCCGTGAAACTAAACAACTGCAACACTCCCTCCAAGAGCAAAATCAGAGCCCAACAGTTTTTATCACAATATTAGGGTTTGGGGTTTTTCAAGGTCCTCTAAAACACAATAAAATCAGAATGAGAAAAGCTTTTTATAAATGTCTAGAGACCTTTATTCAATCTATAAATCCAAATCTCTCTGGATTCGGAGTTCAAGATGCATTAAGAGCTGTCCAAATTGCAGACAATGTGGGTTTAACAATAGGCTTGATCTTTAAAAAACAGCCTCTTCCGAGGACACAACTTTCAGTGGAGCACTGTGCCTGCAAAATAAGAAAGTTTAGGTTTAAGCAGAGACAATTCAGAGGCTCCTTGGAAAGAAAAATCACCTATTTTTAGGATTTCTTTTTTTTTTTTTCCTTGCTTCCTACCAATATCAAGCCAGTTTTACACGAGTGCAACAACCAGGAAACACCTCGAGGGACTAAAGGAACCAGCAGGTTGAAAAAAAAATATTTATCCTCGGCCTCCCAAAAAAACTGAGGGTGAAATTCATGGTGCAGGCAGCAATTGTGACAGTGGGGTGGCCCAGCACCTTCTGAGGCTCCCAGAATTGAGTTCAGAGGGGGAAAATGAGCTTTCCTGTTGCCCCCCCCCGGGCTCCAGCGTGAGCCTCCTCCCTCTGAGCCACTAAAACCCTGAAGCACAGGCACACCTGTGAGAACAAAAACAGCACCAGAACCCGCCCAACATACTTAACTTATGACCACCTGATGTCACAAGAACCTGCAGCTCAGTAACTGCAGACACCAGGGATGGCCTGGAATGAATCCATGTGTTTTGTTGGAAGTGATACCTCGGAACTGCCTTTTTTTTTTTTTTTTTTTTTTCCCCAGACAGATGTTTTTGCCCCTGGAGTGATTTTCGTGAATGAAATCGTATGAAAGGGCAAAAAAAAAAGCATCTTTCTGCATGAGGTATAAGCAATTACCCAGGTGAATATGTGGGACTGTCACCCTGCTTCACCTTGTTCTAGAACATAATAAATGTACTCTTTTCAGCAGGGAGAGGTTAATCAAGGGAAGAGCAAGATCTAAATGCCCACAGCGAGCAGCTCTGCACAGGGTTGACACTTAAAACTCAGATGAACCAGCAGGAATAGCTGAAATAAAGGAATATAAACCTCTGGCTTTTGGTGGAACTCCGGTAAATTAATCAGAATTCAAATACTTGTTGAGATCAGCCAGACACAGACACCAAAGGGGAGGAAAATCCCAGGCAACAGGAGGGAACAGCTGAAGTTCCCCCCACCAGAAATTTTCCAAGGTAACATCATTTGATGGCAGAAGAGCTAAAAATGTTGATTATTTGGCTCTGCCAAACAGGACTCGAAGATTTTCATCAGAGCAGGAAAAGGGTTTGATGGAAAAACCTTCCTGGGACATCAGGAACAGGGACTTGAATGGCTACAGTGGAATGCCAGCCTACCTGAAATACAGGATGAGGTGCATCCAAAGGGATCTCCCAGAGTCAAAACTGATTCTGCAGAGCCACAGACACGACCAGATAATTGAATTCTTGACACACAGCCCCACAGCCCTCTCCTAAAAGCAGCATTGTAACAAAGCACGTGTGTTTTCAGCAATTTACTCCCTAAAAATAGGCAACTAAAATTACCTCGCTCGTGTCCCGGGGTGCATCTGTTTTTAAGAATTTAAACCTGAGAAAAAGAGATTTTATTAATCTGCACCTCCAGCAAATTTCTGGGAGCCGAGTGGTAAAATTAGCAACGCCAGGACCTGATTGGCCCACTGGGAAAAAAATTCCCTTCATTCCAAAGAGCATCCAGCCCCTGTGTGGCTCTCACACGTGGTGCAGAGGTGTCAAATTCACCCAGCCAAGTAAATCCCTTTGTACATGAGCACTGCAACCTCCCAGCCTCGGGAATTACAGGGCTGGAAGAGCCCTTTTT